CCCCCCCCCTCCTCCTTGACTACTGCATCCGAACGTGGCAAAACCTTCGGGAGCGTCGCCTTTTAAGATATTATTGTATTGATGGTCTGTAAACATAACTTGAACACAATTGGCTCTCTCTAAAGACAGTATTTGTAATGTTGCATTGTGCACAACCTGTGTAAGCTAAGCTACCAAGAGCGGCCAATGATATTTTACACCATCGCTTCTATAACAATTACACGTTCTTAAGTATGGGCTATGAAACGGCCGTCTTAACGTTGAAAAGTGTCAAAGTATGTAGGTAGGTGCAGAAATACACATCTTTGATGTAAATGTGTGAGTGAATGAGTACGTGGTACGCTCTGAAGTCACATGGATATTATTCGTCTTTGGTGTCCGATTAAGATCATTTGGTTTTTCACGTTTGCCTCTAACTACAAAGCAAAAGAGCGCCTTATTATTGTTTAAATGGCGTTTGTCGCAGTAAAACCCCGCCTTTAAGAAACTAATAAAGAGTAAAAGCGTATTTAAGCGATTTCCTCATTTTGCTTTTCGCGGTAAATGCAAGGTTTTTGCAGTTTGTCATGGCAAAAAAGCGCCAATAAATTAATTTAAACGCCGCTTTCTCGTGGTGACAGAGCGAAAAGGCGTCATTTAACCTAATATAATGTCGACTTTTCGCGTTCTTGTCCGAAACACGCTCTGAAACCGGTCAGTTACAGTTCTAAGACCGCCATATTGTGATTAGAAGTGCTTTTTACTTTACTAAATGGCTTATTGTTGCTATGTCTCTATTTAAGATCAGTTGCCGCGAAAATACAATGTTTAATTTTATTGAAATATCTTTTTTGCGCGTAGTCTCCATGATAACGCAAGTTTAATGATGAAAATTGCCGATTCGATTTGTCGCGAAGACAAAGCGAAAAAGCAAAAAAGGTCGTTATCAGTAACCATGCCTGGCATATAAGCATTGGGACAATGTCGGATATTCCTGTCAGGTCATACATAACATACATCCAACAGAGACATAGGCAGAAATATGTATGTACTATTATCATAACGGTTTATCTTAATCAATGACCTGTGATATGGTTAAATAGTTATCGTTACGTCACAATCACTGGAAACATGGACACTGATTGTAAGATTTCAACAATTTAGTTGACAACTAAACAATGAAAAGACATAAACATTACTAACAATTACTTAAATGTTTTACCGAAAAACCCCATCGAAATGCCACAAGTGTCTTAATTTCCAACACTCCAATGACCTTTGATAAGGTCTCCTGAACCTGTATAAGTTCAACTGAAATGACTTTGAAGTAATGTTATGAATGGTTCCTTTAGCAAAATATAATATTCACAAATATGTGACACGTAGTTTTCTTCTCTGCAGTCTTTGTTAACACTACTATGGTATTAACTCGAGATCCTGACGACTGATTTTACAAAAATCTCTACCATGTAATATAAACATAATTAAGTAAACTTGGAAAAAGTCATGATAGATAAATAATAGAAAACTGAAACATTCTACAATTTTATTTACAATAACGTTATCACCTTTGAGAAACACATACCACCGATCTGACAATAACATAATCACCTTTGAGAAACACATACCACCGATCTTACAATGACATAATCACATTTGAGAAGCACATACCACCGATCTGACAACCTTGCTACCCAGCTATGACAGTCTTAAACTAGCATGAGAAACACAAAGTGCAAAGGTTTGAATAGCTGTCATATAAACATATGTATATATTTCATTTCAACAAATTTAATTGTTTAAAAAACAAATGGATTGGACAACAGGCAAGCCTATACAAGTCTTCTCCAAAATATGTATGTATGAACTATGCATACAAGTATACTTCTAAATACCTATGTAAAACTCCTTGCATTTTCCGACACATCGATACAGTGTCTAAACAATGCTTATATATAACGGACATAGTTTAACTGTAGTTTAATTTGACAGAAACATAATAATTGAGAAATAATTGATAGGTACCATGGCCATATTCTGCAATTGATTATTGTTGAATGTGTAATGAATGAATGGTAATGTTTGAGAGTAATAATGTTTATGAAATTTGATATATTTGCATTATTATAAACTTGGAAAAACAAATTACAAGAAAATTAACTATACATAACATATAAAAGTACTTATATAACCAATAAATTTGTGTTAATCGTATGTTGAGGCATTCCTCAAAGAATAATCTGTTGTTAGATATAAGTCCCTCCTGGTTTATATACTTGGAGTAATGGATAAATATTGAAACAAAGTTTCCCAACAATGTGACTTACACTTTGTATATGACATTTCATGTGAGTGTTTTATAGAATATATCTTAAATCTGGTAACCGTGTGTTATGACTCGAGAAATAAAATCTGCATCGTATTGAATTTTAGCTGATTCATTGATCTCGTTTGAAAACTATTTATTTCATAAACAAACAATCTTCAACAATGATCACTCCCAATTAAATTTTAACGAAGCAAGAGTCCTGAAGGTTCGATACAATGTCCCATGTTACATGTATTGGCTGGCTCTCGATCTTTGCTTCACAATTTATATTTCAGATGAAAATACAACATCTAGTTGATATACTATTATAGGGATATTTTCACTATTGGACAACATACGTTATTCCCAACCTGACATTTATATTGGCGATTCAGCGAATCAGTTGCATGTCTCTTCGCAGACAGCACCATATTATTTTTGTCCTTTTCCTTTCTTAAAATATAGCTAATTTGTACAGCTTAGATTTCTTTTGGAATATTTGATCTTGAAAAAGTAATGGAATATTAATTTCATAATCTGTTCATATATTTTAAGTTTTATCTATTTAAAATGATCGCGATGATATTCCTGAAAAGACGACATTTTTTTTCTATATACATTTAATAACCCAGGCATGCGTACATCATTCGTGGGTTGTCTGGGGATGGGCTGCCCCAGCTACAACCCACATTGCATGAAACACTCTCTATTTTCTTTCTTCTCAAATCAACACACATTTCTTTCTCTCTCACTTTTTCACACGACAAGTTAATGATGTATATATAACTATTTGTAAGCTTATGAGTTTTTGTGCTATTTTTAACATAAAATGTGTTGTAATATAAGTATTTAGGTAAGAAAAAAATATGAGCAGTTTCTTCTGGTGCATTATAAACAAACTATTTTCCAGATGGTGTAACGACCAGTTACGGGAACAAAATAGTGTTTCTATGGTTACAATTTCCGTCTGATGACAAGAGTGATTCGGAAGCCTTTCGTGAATTTCCGTCAAAGTTTGTATTTGAAGCGAAAGCATAACTGTTTCCCAGTTACTGTATGACGGGAAACGTGAATTTGCCGAAACCACTTTGTCGTGTGATACAGTTCTGTTGTGCTGTCATAAAATTATCTCGGATAGGTAGGTCTATTTAGAGACTTTACAACGGCATTGGAAATATCAACGTTTGTTGTCTGTGTATATAAACATCAGGATAGCATTAACAACAATTACTATCGATTTAATACAACAAAGGTAACAAAACCAAAGGAGAGATATCTCTTTCATCATGTATCCAAATAGCAGAGGAGCCAATAAAGCACCAAGAAAGACAGTAAAATGTAGAAAACCTGATACTGCACCACGGAGCGGAATGAGGTTTTCATTGAACCAACTTAGCATATTTGGCCACATCAGACCGAACGGAATTCCGATAACACATACACTTATCCATATACCAGCATCAAAATAAAAATGTGCACTTATCGTTAACCCGATGAACCCTGCAGTAGAAACTATTGTTGATATGAGCAGAATTTGGTGAGGCTGAACATATCTCACAAGAAATATTCCGCTCAGTGTTCCTAGAAGTCTACTGAAAAATGCAACGGAGGTCACCATAGCCCCGAACGCATTTGTCCAACCAAGATAATCGATACAAAAAACTGGAAGATATCCAATAAACGTAAAATCAATTGCATTTTGCAACACACTGAAAACGCTGGTGTTAAACAATTGTAACCGCTTAAGTAATGGCGAACGTTCTCCAATGAAGTGTGATTCACCTTTCTGCGACCTCTCCTTCTCGCTTGGTCCTAGCTGACAAAACAGGATGAGGAATAACATAGCTGTCAACATGCTTAATACCGCTGATATTGTATATGCTACGTAAAGTTTTGACATGCTTCGGTTTATGGCTGCAGATTTGTCATTGTCCAAATCCATACCACGCAGACCAGATTGGTTAGTGCTGTTTAGTAAGGTGTAGATAGGAGAATAGTAGGAAGTGGAATTCCAGGAAGTGTTGTTCTTGTTGTAGTGAGGCTTTTGAAGTAAAAATGGCGCCGTCACTAAAGGCGCTAATACACTGGCGATAGCGTACATAGCGCTGTTTCCCATGAGGTATGAATGGCCCCTTGGAGTTGGTCCCCAAATATCAACAGTTTCACAACCTATTGCTACAAGAGAAAGTTAGTGGGACACATGATAAACTATTTCACAACGAGTGACTCTTTTATTATGTTATCAAGCTCAAATGGATAAATCTTACATTAAGAAAAAGAAACGAGCTTTAACAAGGTTTTCATTGTAATGTTTAATAAATAAAAATCATCGGTCTCGCGTTTCTTTTTACCATGTTCTTATGACGTTCTCGAGTGAAAGACATCGTTGTTTTACGATCGTTGAGTCAGGGTTTTGCTTGATGTGATAAGTTGGACATGCAATATCATACTGTTGTCTACAACGATATATCCATTTTTAGTCTATGATAATACAAATATATTAGAAATGTTAAAAAAATTAAGATATATATGCTAAACGGTAATGATATTGGAAGAAAAAATTCGACAACTTACCAACCGACAGAATTCCTCCGCAAACACCAAACAATGTATGCGCAGCTACCATGAGTTCGTAGAGATAACACCAAGGGATGGCTGCTACCATTAGGCTGTATAATATTAGTGATGCTCCAAACAAAAGATGCTTGTTTATTTTTGAGTAAATCACACCAGCTAGAACTGAGCCAAGTAATCGACCTGTGTAGAATGACGTCATAAATGCAGATCCATTTTCAAGGTCGGCTCCAGAAATAATCATAATATCAGGAAATGATGGTCCAATCTGGCCCTTTGTCCAACCCTACAGGAATTTAACATACACACAGGCTTTGTTATAAATTGAAGTATATCAAACAAGAGTAGTAGGTTTCACCGCTACAGCCAATGTAGGATGCTAAAACTGAATTTTGAAGAAAAACAAATCACGTATTTTTATTGTGTAAGGCACTGATGATTACACATTTTAGTATATTGCTTGGAGTATGTGACAGTACCAAATATCTAAAAATAAACAGTGGGTACGAATAAAAGTGTAAACTGTCGTATAAGTAGTGGTAGTTTTAAATTGCACACTAAAATATATTGTTCAGAATGATATACAACGGAAGTGTATTTGCTGGAACAATTGAGATGGTTATTAAGACTAGTAAAGGAGATAGTTCAATTAAAGAATTAAAATGCCCAAGTTGTTATTATGTTTTAACCAAATCTGTCTTAAAGCTAACACAATTGTCTCTTGAAAACTATTTGGTTCTCCGATACCTGAGCACGATTTTATTTTTTTACAAAATATATATTATTTCATACAAACCATGATCATATAGGCCCCGGAATTACACACACTCCGTTTAATCTGCGACTGTATGACATTGCTATTCCGGAATTCGGAGCAGAAGCTTTCCTTTGGTTTCTGCTCGTAGGAATTATCCTTTCCTATATTAATTTCCTGCATCGGAACAGCGTCGAGATCGGAGGATTGGATTCCATATTTTTCTTCCTTTTCCATGGCGATTTCTTGTAATCAGATATACAAAGGCCACAGTTTTCTCGTACAATTTACAAAGTTATATATGAATGCACTATTACTTGTTAGAGTTAATAAAAATCTAAAATACACGGTAAGGGAATATTTAGATGACTCACCTCTTTGTTTCGGTATCTAAATGAAGTCACATGCAGCGTAAAACGAAGACGTGATTCAACATTGATTAAATACTGACTATTAAAGAGATCGACACAAAACACGTTAACAAAATAAACTTGATATAACCCACGCATGTTTCGTATGATAATGTATGAGGCGAATTATGCAAGGAAATGGAACGTACAAGTACGGAGGACTATTCTTATTAGCTGAATTCTATGTAGGTTATCATTTTAACTTTACTTTTAATTCAATGGGTCAAATTAGAAAGAGAGGTATATTTTTAGGACGTAGGCATGCCCCAGTATTGTCACCTCTAATCTAAGGGTCTTGAATATGACATTATGAATGTCGTGAAAATGAAACTGAAATTAAGGATACCTGTCGCACTGCTCAATGGTTTTTTGAATATACAGTACGCCCGTCCCCCTGTTGGGCGAGGACACTTCATTTAAACAGGTAGCGAAGTCAGTAAGCAAGATCATATATCAAGCTGAAGTCCAGTGTTCGACCCCCTGTCTAGTCCCACTGAGTTTACACTCAGTGTTTATATTTAGCTTTTCATAAAAGTCCGACAAGGTATGATTTTCTTTTTTTCAGAAACGATTTATCAAAGCTTACAGTCAAGCCAGGAAAACAGTTTCAAAGGCGTAGTTACAAAATTTGGCAATGATACGGGGATTCTCAAGGAAAGAAGTTATACATTACAATGTGGTGACGTTAATACCGGGGATTCCTATGAAAATAACGTTATTATAAATTGTGACTTGTTCCTTATTTTTTTTTGTAACTTGTCGCATATGCCATGATAACAAAATATGATGGTAGAGAAAGAATCTCATTATATACTTGCTGCAATTGCTATCAATTACACTACTAAACTACAGAATACTTGATGATTTTTTCTTTGTAATAAACTTGTAACGCACGAGAGGGGGCTAGGTGTTGTCGCCGTTGTGACATTTAAACAATTTGTGACACGTTAAACAGTTTTGTTCTGATTGGTACTGCTACAATGATAATGCAGTGGAAAAACGTGAAAATTCGGAAAATAGCACTACCACTACATTTCGAAACAAAGTTTAAGAAGAACCGACCTCTCCTGATGACTATTATGGTATACGGAAGTTTGATGAGATCCAAATCTGTAAAACACTCTGTGATCGTTATGTTCTCAACCAGAACACAGGTAGTTTACTTCATTTAAAAAGAGACGTGACGGTTCTATACGTTTTTAGTTTTATCTCTTGTAAGCGAATCCTTGGCGTATGGGCTTCTGACATCACTAAGCCAAGCGTGAACAAAATCCTAGTTCGAATTTTAAATGAATGAAACGAGGGCAACATATTACAAAAAATTACATGAATACCATTGAACAAGTACAAGAGAATAAAACAAACTGTTTCAGAAATATGAGTATCTCCTGCTTCATCCGCCATGTAAACCTGTAGGTTAAGTAACGCCACATCCTAAAAGTGAGAACCAGGAAAAATACAACGGCAAAACAGGATACACTATTGAGTATAATAAAAAAAACATCGAAATTCATATCGCCGATAGGAATAAAACATTTCCAAATGACAATATCATGGCGACAGTAAACTTGAGCACAAACTTAATCAAATCACATCTCTAAAACCAAACCAGATTTCGACACCTGTCGTGTTGAAGTTGCAAACGATCCAATGAGTAAAAGTCTTTTTTAATTTTACAAATTGTTATTACAGACCTTCTTATCAAATGTTATTATCCAAAATGTGAAAGATTCGTATTGTCATGATCAGGATAAATATTCCCTGATTGAATTCCTGGTTCCATACATCCATATACAGGTATGAAAATCATTTTTGTCTTCTGAAGTATGTGTATGACGTCTGTTACGTTGATACAAAATAATATTAGCTAGAAAATCTTTCCAATGCTCGATATATGCCAACGGTTTAGAACTGTTATCAATGTCCGTTGTAGGTCTCCAAAAATACTAGAAAAAATCTAGATGTTCTGTCATAATTGATGCTTTGATGAAAGTAAAACAGGTTAGCATATTTGTCGAAATAGGAAACGCGAACTACTGCAGCTATAACATATATTAATCAAATTCAATCATGCGATAAGAAGAACGTACATTCTTATTATCATAATAATTATAAAAAAGGAGAACATAACAATGCAAACGAAACTGTTTGATAATTTTCTACTCGAAATATAATTCAGTGAAACAACATACGACTGTGGGACAATTTTGACCCACTAACACGATATCTAGAGGCAGAGCAAATTGTATAACAAGATAATATTACAAAATACAAACTTATAACCTACATATGAGCTGCTTATAATCTCATTTACTTAACCGTAACCAATAATGGAGACTTTTCAGTTTTGTAATGTAGTATTATCTTCTGGTATCTACAGGCACCGTATATAAAAACATCAGGATTGCATTAACAAAAATCACGACAGACTTAAAACAACAAAGGTAACAGAACCAAAGGAGAGATATCTCTTCCATCATATATCCAAATAGCAGAGGAGCCAATAAAGCCCCTAGAAATGCAGTAAAATTCATCAAACTTGCCATTTCATTACATAAAGGAATGAGGTTTTCATTGATCCAACTTAGCATATTTGGCCACATCAGACCGAACGGTATTCCGATAACACATACACTTATCCATATACCAGCATCAAAATAAAAATGTGCACTTATCGTTAACCCGATGAACCCTGCAGTAGAAACTATTGTTGATATGAGCAGAATTTGATGAGTCTGAACATATCTCACAAGAAATATACCGCTCAGTGTTCCTAGAAGTCTACTGAAAAATGCAAAGGAGGTCAACATAGCCCCGAAGGCGTTTGTCCAACCAAGATAATCAATACAAAATACTGCAAGATATCCAATAAATGTAAAATCAATTGCATTTTGTATCACACAGAATACAATTGTGTTGAACAACTGTAACCGCTTAAGTAATGGCGAACGTTCTCCAATGAAGTGTGATTCACTTTTTCGTGATCTCTCTTCCATGCTTTGTCCTAGTTGACAAAACAAGATGAAGAATAACATAGCTGTTAACATACATAAACCCGCCGATACTGTGTATGCTACATATAACTTTGACATGCTTCGGTTCATCGTTTTAAATGAGTCATTGGCCATCCCAATGTCATGCAGACTGGATTGGTTAATGCTGTTAATCATGATTGGAGCGGAGGAGGTCGCATTCCGTGAAGTGTAGTTCGTGGTGGTACTGATGTAGTTTGATTTCAAAAGAAATGGCGCCGCCACTAATGGTGCTATTACACTGGCGATAGAGTAGGCAGCGCTGTTTCCCATAAGATATGAACGACCTCGTGGTGTTGGCCCCCAAATAGCTACAGATTCGGAGCTGATTGCTGGAAAATATAATGATCAAAAACAAAATGATAATACGGGATGTGTCAATGATTATTAACATACATAATGCCATGTTACCTTATGTGCTTATACCATTTCACAGGTTGAACAAGTAACACTGAAGGAAGTAGAGAAAATATGTCCACGAAACTGTTCTGAAAAGAAAATGGTAGGACGTGACTTTTTCATATGCCAACCCGTCAATCGTATGCTTAAATGTTAAACCAGCCTTTTACTTGACAAACAAGCATTTTTAAGATGTGTTAAACGAGTAATCCTGATAGGATAACGGTATAACAAGATTTTTCTGACGAACGCTCCTATTCTGATACTTGTCCTAAGATCACCTCAGTTAAAATTTCATTCATTCGGATGCTTCATGAAATTATGTTCCTTATTCTGATCAACATTTCTAATGCAATTGACGAAAAATACATTTGTATCTGGTGTCGAACACGATCCAATGTTTTCCATATTATACCAGTAATAGGCTGCAATAACAAACGGCAATATTGGCTGTACTAATGACAACAGACAACTTACATACACAAGTGAACCCTCCGCATACACCAAGCAACCCATGCGCAGCTACCATAAGTTCGTAAAGATAACACCAGGGGATGACTGCTAGCATAATGCTATACATTACTAAGGAGCCAGCAAATAAAATATATTTGTTCATTTTGGAGTAAATCACACCAGCTAGGACCGATCCAAGTAAAAGGCCAGTGTAGAGTGACGTCATGATTGCAGAACCACTTTCAAGGTCAGCTCCAGTAATCATCATAAGATCAGGAAAAGCTGGTCCGATCTGGCCCTTTGTCCAACCCTACAGACATCAAATAAAAACATGCATGTCAAACTAAATGTTACGAAGATTGGTCCTATTGCCGTTTTATATAAGTTTTTACTTGCAAACCTGAACTTAAAAAAGATTTTTGCTGTTATTGCTTTAATATTACCGCTTTTCATATTTTATTGTTTAGTCTTTTTAGCTTTTAATTCATTCATTTAAAATACATGAATGTGTATTGTCTTGTTTTCAACAATAGTCACGTCTGTCGACTTTAAAACCATGCATTACACAGCGACATCTTTACTAAAAAAACAAATATTGCAACTTTTTCTCAAATAATCTAAATTTCAATCAGTTGTCATTATGTGACCTCACTTTTGCATTGTTGCTCATTTGAAAGTCCTGCATAGATCGGATAGGTATACTTTGTTTGAAAATCTTGAGGTCAAACAAATGCAAAATAAAATCGCTTTCAGCTTATGTAACGACGCGAATAACAAAACACAGGTTCAAAAACTTGTCATTCTTTATATATAACGCTTAAACGACCGATGAACGCCTGTTTTAGAAATTAACACCCTTCAAAATTGTCAAGTGAGATACTCATCTGCATCATATACGCGGCGGAAAGGCACAGGCTTTGTGAAATCTGTGACTGAAGGATTTTACTATTTCGGATTTCAATACAAAGTGTTTCCTTTGATCTGTGACTACAATCATTTCCATTGATGTTTTCCCCATGAACTTCCTGCATAGGAACGGTGACAAGACCAGAGGATGGAATTCCATATTTGATTTCCTTCTCCATGGTTCTTTCCTGTTGTTCGATAGATAAAAGAATATTTTGTTATGGGAAAAAGATTTAATAATACTA